GTCCTAGAGAATGAAGAAAGTCTAGCACCATGTGTGTTGATGGCACTCGTGTCTGGACCTTGCTTTGACTAGGCAGTCGTTCAGGTAGGGATATATGGTAACTCCTTGTCTCCTGAGGTGGGCAGTGACTTCTACTAGGATCTTGGAAAATACTCTCAGAGCTGTAGAGAGTCCAAAGAGTAGGACCATGTACTGAAAATGGTTTGGACCCATGTGTCTGAGGTAATTAGTGATGAAGGAAGAGGGTTGCACCAGGAGGCCAGCTGCATAGTGCTAGCTGTAGCCATCATTCTTGTGGCTGTATCTTCTGCATCAAGAGCCGCTTACAACGCTATATGCGGAAACTGATGCCCCTCAGAGACAATGGCTTTGAAATGTGCATTTTTTGCTTTTGGACAGATCATTAATAAATGTGTTCATTTTCATGTGATTATTACAATAGTATTTACTAAGCAGGGCTGAATAAATTGCTACCCTCAGCTGGAGTGTGGCTGCAGCATATACTTTTTTACCGAACGAGTCTAATCTTTTATTTCTTTGTCAGATGGGGTTAAGTAATTTTGGTGCTTATTTGTTAACTGTGCAGCGTCCACCATAAGGGAATTGGGGGGTGGGGAGAATGTGTGAAGAGAAATTCAGCTTGTGGGATGTTAGTGAGCTAGTGGGGAGTATCCTGTACTTCCTCCACAGGGATATTTAGATCTTGTGCAACTGTTTTAAGTAAGTTTTGGAAAGAGGAAATGTCCTCCAAAGTGTTAGCGGATGGAGGTAGCATTGCCTCCCCCATATCAGCTAATGATGTTGTGTGAGCCAAAGATCCTGTTGCTGACATAGGGGAATATTGGCTCTCATTATCACGCCTCCTAACGTGCCTGTGAGGAGATTCAGTAGATCGTGAGTCTTATCTATAAGTTTAATTTTAAATGGTCTCTTTCTGTACTGTTGTGGAGGTTAGTTCCACATTTGCCACTGTGGGGGGTACGCCATGGACAGAGGTGTCCACAGATAGGGAGCCCAGGGAATCATTTGCGCTCTGATAAGGTCTGCTTGCAAGTGACTGTATCCCCAGTGACCCTTCTGAATCAGGGACCAGATGTAATGAAAAGCGACAAAATCCTCTCCCCTTTGACGGATCGGAGTAATCAGAAAGCAGTGACTAAATGTAACTGTCTTCAAAGTGAAGAGATGAATCAATCTGCAAGACTGTATGTGATCAGGGGAGTTTGTGATGCGGGGGGCTGCAGTAGCTGGGAAAAGCCCATTTATCCCAGAGCTAAGAGGGCGAGCTATTGCCCCAAGAGTTGAGAGAAAGCGGCAGTATTGACAGAGTGCTCTCTTTCGTAGATGCCATATTGAGAGGCTGAGGTACTGGTGGAGCTGCCAAAATAGTCAGCATTACCGGGGTTTCTGAGGCTGGCACAGAGTGGCCTGTTGCCTCTGTAAGGGCAGCGTTTGAAGCACTTTCTGGCTTATTACGCTGTTCACCTGAAGTACCTGGACAGTCAAACGTGCTCAGACGGTTCTTATCTGAGTGGTCTGACTTTTTTACTTCAGAATGCTTCTTGGTGGGTTGCTGAGGTAACGAGCTTGCCCTTCTCTAGGGGAGTGACGAAATGCATCAATATGCAAGTCGTTATTCTCCCTGTAGGTGACCAGGAGAGTTTGTGATGTGGGGGGCTGCGCTACTGAGAGGAGCCCATATTACCTCAGAGCTGAGAGGGAGAGCTCTAGCCCCTAATTGCTGAAACGGAGGGGTCAGTATTCACAGAATGCTCTATTACTTCTCTGGGCCCCATCTTGAGAGGCTGAGGTACCGGTACAGCAGTCATTGGGGTCAGCATTACTGGATTTGCTGAGGCTGGCACAGAATGGCACTTTGCCCCTGTCGGTGCAGCATTTGAAGCGCTTTCAGGCTTACTACGCTGTTCGCCTGAAGTACCTGGGCGGCCAAACATGCTCAGATGGTTCTTGCCTGAGTGGTCTGACTTTTTTCTCTCAGACTGCCTCTTGGTGGGTTGCTGCATCAGGTAATGATCCTGTCCTTCTTTTAGAGGGCTTAGAGTTATCATTGTTAGGTATTAAGCTGTGCCCTGAGCCTGGGTCAGAGGCCTGTCTTTTGTCATTATGGAGCTTTTTCAGTATAAGCTCCTCTCTGTGAGACCTGAGTCAACACAGTGGGGGCAATCTCAATCTCTGCACGAATGAGAGCTCCCCAGACATTTGAGGCAGGAGTCATGCCCATCAGAGGCAGACATCGCGCCGCTATAGAGCGTGCAGCGTTTGAAGCCGGGAGAGCTCATACCGGCTTGTATGCTGAAGCGGCAGTTCAAACCCTGCACTGCTTTTTTTTTTTTTTTAAACTAGTACTAATCTAATATAAACACCAAGAAAAAGTGAAAGACTTAACTAAAACTAAAAACTAACTACTTTAACCACTAAGTGTGCTGAGGAGAGAAGAACACTGCCACGCTCCGTCCACAGCCGGGGATGGTAGAAAGGAACTGAAGGCCACGCATGCGCGTAGCTAGTCAGGGAGTTTGCGTGCGTTGTGCGCCGTGCATGTGCGGCCCAGCTTAGGCACTGCTAGCAAAACTCTGTCCAGAGGCGCCGGGACACTCTACACCTGATGTGGAGCACTCCCAGGGACGTCTCTCGAAGGAGAACCTGTGTTCTGAATCGGTCTGCGCTATGTCCCATCTCCAGGCATCAGTCATTTTGCGGCAACCCCTACAGTGTCCCCCACTCCTTGTTAACTCCGGAATTGTGCTGCTAAGGTTTAACTGTTCTGACCTAATTTAATTTCTTCCAGCATGGCTAACCAAAGGTGACTCGTCCACATCCAGCATCAATTCCATTTCTTCTGCTTTGCTTTGCCATCCTTCCCTGGTTTAGATTTTCCCACTACAGCAGCAGTTTGAGGAAATAGTGTCGAACATGGAGTGCACTGTCAGGGAAGGATAGCACTGCTCATCTTTAACTTACTGCTAATTCAAATTTCAAGGTCTCAGGAATGATGAGTGGCTCCTATGTTTATAAAAGGCCCAACATTCAGATGACCCACAACAATTATTTCATTCAGTTGTACAGAGACAAAGGAACCATTAAAGGTTAACGTGTAGTTTATCAACTCTGTAAAGCTAGCATGTCCATCTTCCATCTCCAGACACAGTAAACCTGTAACCAACGAGGGCAGACCCCAACCTTCTGCAGGGGACTGAATACAAAGCAGGATAAACACTTCACTCACTAATGCCCTATAGCTCAGAACTGTGAAAGGACTCAAGCATTGGGATGCCATGTATAGCCAAGCTTAGGCTTTGTAGATCCCATTGAATGAAGATGCCTTTAAGCTGCATTCGTGCTTAAGTGCCTTGGCCCCGCTTCATATGATACCTCAGAATACCAACACACTCAGCAGGGAGCTGCCTAAATTGGCCAGTGGGAGATACTGATGAGGCATGTCCTGAACTCTGCCTCTCTCAAGGAGTAAAGCATCCAAGTAGGGGCTGGAGGAGGCACCAAGCTATAGCCATGAACCCTTCTGCAGACAGGCAGCTAAGTCATTTGAGGAAGTGGTGGTTGGTCCCCCATGCTGCTTCCTTGATAATTTTAGTCTAGTGGCTAGAGTGGTCACCCAGGATGTGGAAGCAGTGGGGAATGCCCATCTTCACCTGGTTTGAGGATCACACTGGAGTTACAGTGTGAGATAGTATCTCTTGGTATGCACACCTCCAGATCAGCTACTAGAAGTGGGCCTCATCCTCCCTGATTGGATCCACCTCGTCATCTCTAGCCTGATTCTGGCCTGCATATTTATACCTGCCTCTGGAAATTTCCACTACATGCATCTGACGAAGCAGGTCTTTGCCCACGAAAACTTATGCTCCAACACTTCGGTTAGTTGATAAAGTGCCACAGGACTCCTCGCCACTTTTGCAGATTCAGACTAACACAGCTACCCCTCTGATACTTGAGTGTGAGATAGGTGCAGGCAGTAGTTTGCATGCCCGGGGAAGAAATTAAGGTGCCTATGGAACTTGTATAGCAACAATGCAGACAGTGGGGCTGTGTCTAGACTGGCAAGTTTTTCCTCAAAAGCAGTTGCTTTTGCGGAAAAACTTGCCAGCTGTCTACACTGGCCGCTTGAATTTCCGCAAGAACACCGACAATCTCATGTAAGATTGTCAGTGTTCTTGCGGAAATACTATGCTGCTCCCGTTCGGGCAAATGCTTTTGCGCAAGAGGGCCAGTGTAGACAATGTGGTATTGTTTTGTGCAAAAAAGCCCCGATCGCGAAAATGGTGATCGGGGCTTTCTTGCACAAAACCGCATCTAAATTGGCACGGATGCTTTTCCACAAAAAGTGCTTTTGCGGAAAAGCGTCTGTGCCAATCTAGACGCTCTTTTCCGCAAATGCTTTTAACGGAAAAACTTTTCCGTCAAAAGCATTTGCAGAAAATCATGCCAGTCTAGACGTAGCCTGAGTGTTTAGATGCCACCTTAACCAGGGGTTTGTAGCATCTAAAAGCTGAGTCTCAAGTCCCTAGTGCACATGCCCATTTTCACAAAGTATCAGAGTGAAGTCCCAGGCACAGAACAGGAACAGCAAGCAGCTGTGGCAGTGAAGGTGCCACTCAGAAGGAATGAGTTTTGTCTCCACATGCATTTGATCTCAGTAGAGCCGGCTGACAAAAGGTATAAAAGGGTCCAACCAATTTCTATGGAAAATGTCCAACAAAAGCTGGACTGAATTCCCATTTCCTAGGCCACTCAAGAGTCATCCACTAGTAAGCTTATGCCTCAGGTGTAAATTGTAACCAGTTCTCTAGTGGTGACAGGTTCTACATCTTGTTACCAATTTCCAAACCAATCTGTCCTTAAGAAAACTGCTTCAAAGGATTGAGGATGTTTCGATGTTCCTGGTACTTACAACTGTAGCAAGAAAATACTGTGCTATAAAGACTTTTTAAAATTCCATATAAGTAATCAAAACATTGTGACTTTCATTTAGGGCAGTTTATTTATCATTTTGAACAAATAAGGCAAGATGTTTGAGCAAGATCATTCAAACAAGATCTCCTGTATCAAACTCACAGGAAATGCAATAAAGTCACTATTTCATACATATACAAACTAATGTCAATACTAATATATACAAACAGCCGGATCTTACAAAATAGCATTTCAAGTCAGCACTGTATGCCAAGGTCACTAATTTGTTACAAAAAGTTAAAGCTACAAACTTCACATTATCAAGTCTCACATAACTCACATCAGCATCTTTGCAATCTGGAAAACCAAGATGGCAGTTTGTTCAGAACACTTTTCAGCAATGCATATGGACCCATAAAGCATGTGAATACAATTTCACAATTAAATAAACAAATTGCTTAAAAATGTTGCCTGAATAGCCTTTTTCCCCAGGATATAAGCCTCAGTTGTCACAGGCTGGAGAAATGTAAGGAGTGAGCACATGTAAGACTCCTGCAGAGAATCTGAAAAGGTTATCCTAGCTAAGATTACAAATTCTTGAAGGTGAAAAAATTCCTATATCTGTTCAAACTCCAAGAGAAGCAAATAACTCAACTTTTATGGGCACGCAAGGCAGATTTAAGAGAAAAATTAAACTACTGGACCACTTCTTACTTTCACATATTTGGGTTTTTCAGCTGTGATTTTTTTTTATAACGTTTACTGAAATTGTTGGCTATTTCACTTACATTATATTTGACTGCAAGTACCAATTACAGCAATCAAGTTATGTACCCAAAGTGAAAACTAAAACCAAGCACCCAACTTTGGTGTTTTAAATAAAACATGGGCTTCCCAATGTCTTCTTGGGGGTGGAAGAAGTTTTGTCTGCTAGTGGTAAATATGATACAAAGAAACCATTCCCCACAGAATGCTCTATTTGATAGCTAAGTTGCTACCAACTCACTCATATTGTACTTGTGCATCATGTGGAGGCAAAATGCACATGTACTAGAAGTAACTAAGCAATGAACCAGTGCATCATCTTTCTGGAAGCTTCATTTAAACAAGGGAATGTAATGAACATTAACCACAAAAAAATTTAATATATGAGCCTCTTTTGTAAATATTTTTGCACAAACACATTGCATGCATTTTTAATAAGTACTGCAGATGGGGTGTTTGTGTTCAGCCTAATGTGCTGTATTGTCAACACAGGCGCTTACTAGCCTGCATAGTTCATTTAAATCGCCAAATTCTTATTGCTAAGAGATTTAGCTATTTACTAACAAAAGCAGAGGTTTACATTATTTAGCTTGTGCTGTAAACATGATTTTTAACTTAATTTACTTGGTTTCTTTCAAGAAAGATCTTCATCCTAGAAACCTTTGAAATATCAGACACTACCAAAAATCATAACTTTCCAATAGCTGGTTAAGGTGGGTGTACATGGTGTGTGTTGTTCCGATGTGGTTCCAGAACATGTTGCCTGCTGCTTCCCTTTACTTCCAGAGTCTGCCTGACTAGGCTGTGAGCTCATGGAATCAGTTATAGTAACTCTGTGTATTTGAAGCTGAGATAAAACTGAGGATGTTAGAAGTTAAGATCCTCACGGGTATTAACTGGCATGACTCCTATGCCAACAGAGCTCACTATTTACAACAGCCATACAATCCTAAGAAACAAAGGGTCTAAAACTATAATGCTTCCAATGGCTATGACAGGAACCCTTTTGTTACTAGAAGCATTTGATTTCAGGAGACACTGATATTTAATTCTGTGTGTCGTACCAAAGTCTGTTTCAGAAGAATGACATGAAAACTGGTCCTTCTAGCAGAGGAAAGAAAATCACTGAAATACTTGCTCTTTCAAAAATTTCATCTTATGTTTAATAGCTAAATACAACTGAAAGTGTATCCTAAAATTGAATTCAATATTAGCTTTGCTCTTCTAATGCCTGTGCACAGCACATCCACTGTTCTGTCTCTGCGTCTATGACTGGCGATACCTGTATTATTTTTTCTATTTTGCTCTTCATCATGTCAGTGTAAGTTCATTAAATCATTTCAAGGTAATCTGACTCACTGATTGTATATTTACCATCTGGTGATTTTCCACAACTGGTTAATACCACGAAAAAACTAGACTTTTACATAGTTATCCCAGAGAGAAAGTGCACTATTTATCAGCATGTCCAGAAAAACTGGAACAGATTGATTTTAGCCATCTTTAATGCAGAACAGATTAAGCTGGAACGTCAGTTGCCTAACTCATCTGGCATCAAAGTTTTTTTTTTGGTGGGGGGTGGGGCTCTTTTGGGTAACTGATCTTTACCTTCAGCTTAGCTTTTCTGCTGCACTTGGCCTCTTAGGAAAAAAGCAAACCATTATGCAATTAATTTTTCATCTAAAGATGGAAGCTTAAAATTGGAAAGCCCTATATATTACCATAATTAGTGAAATATTTTTGCATCCTCTCTCTAGTGGAGCAAAAAATATCTAATTTCCCGAGAGAAGGTTCACAGCGAACTTTTTAGCACTCTAATTCTAGTAGGAACTAAATGAAGCCTATTTCTCAGGATGTGGATGAAGAGGCATCTGGCTTTGTTTTATAGTGGAATTCTGCTTGGTTTCTGGTTTAGTCAATGAGGCTTTTAAACTGCACAATAGCATTTCTGATGGAAGCAAAACATGCTTAATCTACCAGTATTAATTCATACAGTACACAAAAGACAAAACTACGGTCTCAAAAAACTCTTGCTTAAAGCACACAGTGTAAGGCATGGGGTTCATTACAGGCTTTTTTAAAGTAAGTTTTGTTCCTTTCCAAGGGCAGAAACAGTTTCTGCATGTTTTTGTTTACTCTCTTCAGTGACTTCTTCAAATTTGCTAACACTTTCCATGGTACCTTAACAAAAGTAAGACAGTTAAAATGTCTGAAACTGAGTATGTACAAAAAGATATTCAGCAGTTAAAACAGCACAGTACATATTAAATTCAAAAGGATGAAAATGGACTACTGAAAGTTACATCAAGAAAATGAACCAACTTCCATTAGCCTTATTTGTGTCTGTTCCCCTGATTTAAAAACACGTTTAATCTAAAACCAGTAACATAACTCCTCTGAAATAATATACTTTCTATTTTAAATATATCTAACATTAAAACATACCATTATCCATCCATCAGGACGTCCCACTTAATGGCTTTCCTGAGTTCAGAAAGGTGCTATGGAAATATAAGTGAGCAGAAGTTTTGCTCCCTACTTTGCTAACACATTTCAATAGAAATCAATCTGCTTAGTAGTCATAAAAAAAAATCAAGGTTCTGATTGTTTCAGAGGGAGGACATTTATTCTACCAGTGGCACTCTCAAAAGTTCTGTTGCCGACGTTTCTTGGCTTCGATGGCATCAAGGATTGGCTGCCGTTTAGACTGATACTTCTGGCGGATTTCTTCAATTTCCTGTTCCATCATGGGATCAAGTGCTGAGAGTCTCCTCTGAAGTTCCTCTACGCCCCAGCTCTTTAACTAGCAGAAAGAAAACAGAGTGCATGCCAACTTCAGAATCTGGACAAGTCCTTGACAGAACAGATCACCACTTGTCATGGCTCCTTCCCCACTATGGCATGATAAATGCAGGAGTGGGAGCCATCAAAAGTACCCCAAAACCTTATCTACCAGGCTTTGGTATAAAACTTTGGTATAAATCTCCGCTGCTACCACCCAATTATTAATAAAGCAACCAGGGAGAGACTACTTGGGAAATCTCACTCCTAAAGTACAAACCAAGACACAAAAATTAGCCACTACCAGGTTAATGAAAAGAAAAGAGAAAGAACTTTTATTATCACCACAATATTCCTGTTGCAAGCATAATGACTAGATGGAACAGTACCAAAACAATATACTCACGGAGGAGAAATTTACTATGGGCCAGGAACTTAGTTACAAAGGAGAGCAAAACCCATTTTTAAATGCATAGACCAGATCCCATTTCCCAAACCATAAAACAATAAAACGGATTTACCTAAACTTTATCCTACTTACAGACTGTGAAGAGCATTCTCTTAGAGGGAGACATCCTGTCCCCTTCAATAGCTGTAGAGAAACTACTGCCCAGAGACAGAGGGAAACCCAAAAATTCCTTTGTCCTAGTTTGAAATACCTACCTACATTCCTATTGGCCAACTCCACCTGAGTTAGATATAGTTAACCCCTTAGTCCCCAGGCTGCTGGCTAACCCTCATGATCATGACATTTCTGCAGGGAGTTCTGTTCTGACAAAGTTAAACAGTCATACAGCATCCCAATAGTAGGCAGAAAAATGGTCCTGAACTAACCAAGGAAAAAAGAATGAAGGGTTAAGTGAGAAACAAAAAGATGAGTAAGTTACATGCTTGTAAAATGCAGATATGGCAAATGTACCTAAATGTGGATTACTACAACCCCTCTGTAGTTACACAATCCAGAAGCAAACAAGCACCTTTTTATCTTCATAGCCAGGATCACTGCCAATCACTTCCTCTAGACACATTCCAAAATTAAGCTGCTTCTTGTTGATAGAAAGTGGGAATCAATATGCACATCACAACAGGTAGGCCACCTTGTCTGGGGAATGTCAAGTTAAAAATGAATTACACAATTCCCAGGAAAGCCAAGAGTTGATGCCTAGCTATTATAAAACCTTTGGAAAGGAACCTCTCATTACGTATATGTGGCAAGAATTCCTACCTCACTGTCTAGCTACAAGGAATTAAGAATCAGAGATAAGTGTAGGAAATGTACTTTCTAGCCATCTGGGATTAGCTTGCTGGGAGACTTAAAAAGCCAGGACTCCCAGGCTATGTCTACACTGCAGGGTTCTTTCAGAAGAAGCTTTTCCAGAAGAGCTCTTCCAAAAAAACTTCTTCCAAAAGAGCGCATCCACACACAAAAGTGCATCAAAAAAGCGATCTGCTTTTTTGAAAGAGCCTCTATTCAGTGTGGACGCTATCTCGCATTTAAATTGTGATTGCTATGGATGGAGTGGTCACCAGGGCACCTGTGTGTTTTCCTCTTTCCTCTTCTTCCGAAAGAACTCCCTCTTCCCCACCACATAAGTCTTTTTCCCCCAAAAGAGCTCTTTCACAAAAAAGGCTTCTTCCTCATAGAAAGAGGATTACCAATGCTGGAAAACCCCCTCTATTCTTTCAATTTTCTTTTGAAAGAATGCGATTGCAGTGTGGGTGTAATTGAAGTTTTTTCAGAAAAACAACCGTTTTTCAAAAAAACAAAACAAAAACAAAAACCCCTCTGTAGTGTAGACATACCCCCAGAAGTTAAACTTATTGATACCCCACAATGTCCAACAGACATCTTTCATCCCAAATCCCAAATAGAAACAGTATATTCATCTTCATTGCGAATAAAGTCAGATTCCAAGGCCAGTATGAACTATTGTGGTATACAGACCATCAGAGAAGACTAACACAGTAGGGATGTAAGCAACTAGTCAACTATCCGATAAGCATAAGCTTAAAAGACAGTTTCCCCCAGCACCGTCTCCATGGGGGGCATGGGAAGCAGAGGCACAGATGTAGCTTGAGTCCCCGCTTGCCCTGTGCTCCCTGTGGTGCCCTCCCTCCCCTTGCCTCTATGAGACAGCAAGGTGAGGAGGACAGGAGCTGGTGCAGGGGGGAGCCAGCTTAAAAGCTGGTTTGCCCCCCAGCACCATCTCCAGGGTGCTGCCTGCCCCCCCCCCCCCCCCCCCCCCCCCCCCCCCCCCCGTCGC